ATGCCAGGATAACTGGAGTGTTTGCCTTGCTGTGGATCTTTAATAGAGACAAGGCACCAGCCCTTTCTACCACGGCAGCGCAAGGAAGGGCAGAGCTGTGCCTTAGCCTGATGCTCACCCATGTTTACTCTGAAGAAGAGTTGTGTACTCTCTTTTACAGTGAGGCTAAGTCAGTGTGCAGTGTCTGTCCAGGATATCAAAATATACTTTAATCAAAAATCAAAATATACTTTAATCAAACACAGGGAATGGGGCAATTGACAGAAGGAGGGGATGATACAGTGAATTTGTTCGCACAGCCTTTGTTTGAGGCTTATACTCAGAATGCTCGTATAGAATTTCTTTGCTCAGAGTATGATTTTTTATCATAATTACATTTAAAAACTGGGCTATCAGCGTGACTGAGTTAAGCATGCTGTTTTCATTTAGCTTTTGATAGTCAAGCATCAGCTTAGATCTTGACAGAACAAAAATGAGGCAGTGGTTCCTCCCAGGAAAAATAAAACAAAGTTTTGTTAAAATTTTGGAAAGGGGAGAAAGATACTGGAGAGGCAACAGGAAGGGACGAGAAGGAAATAATGTGCGCTTGCGTGTGGTTTGTAATGGGATTTTCCCAGTCTCTCTCTGTTAAGGCAGTCTCCCATATGAATTCTTGAAGACAGCTCAGGAAGACTGTGGAAATGAACTCTTACCTATGGAAGCCATACAGTTGTTACTGACCTTAAGGATCTGAGACCTTGCGTAAGTTCAGTTCATACAGTGACATGGAGGAGAATGAATCACTGGGGAAAGCAAATTAACTGGAAACTCTTTCAAGATAGGATTTTCAAATTGCCCCAAAGGAAATTAGGTGTCCGGGTTCCATTAACATCTAACTGAATCTGGAGTTTAACTCACCCAGTCTTTTCTCATAAACTTAGTGCAGAAAAAGCTCATGGTGGCTGATAACCTTGAACGTTCACAGTGCCACTGTCAGCTTCAGCGTTGACATGAGAGAGCTTGGAAGCCACAGAAACCACTTCTCTGACATTAGTCCCATGTGATGTGCGACAGCAAAACTTCACGCTGGGGGAGGATAGGAGTGGTACAATAACTGCTAACGACATCATTTTCCACAAAACCAATTTTAATCTGCTGCTTAGGGACTTGCAAATGGCCTTAAATAGTTCTTGCCATTGAAGAAGCTCGTTGGAAGTGCTGTTCAGCAACGCACTTAAACATCTGCACCTTGGTTTAATTGTTCTCCAAGATATGTTTAGGTCAATCTTCAGAAGTTGCTGTGTCTGATGTTTCTGCTCTCCGATCAGCAGTAGTGGAACAGGGGGAGGAACAGCTGTGTGCTCTCCCGGGCTTCACTCTCACACTAAGCGTTGTTCAGTAACTGCACAAATGTGAGGCTGTGCAGATACTCCTGCTGTGATTCTCCTCCTTTCTTGTGTATATGTTGATCAGCCGAATATTAGGCTGGGGTTTAGACTGCAGTGTATATGGATCATGACACAGTCTCCTGGATGGTGTATTGGGGTTCAACTCTGTTTCCTACAAAAAGTGGCAGAATTTTGCTGAACTGATGAATCAAAGCAGTAAGACGATATTGTCAGTAATAGGTTTATTAATGCCTTTTTCTACAAAGCCATGTCAAAACAACCACATTTTTGTTTCAGTAAAGGAAGAGAAGCAGTAAAATTGATAACCTGCTGTATGTATGTAATCCATTCTGGGGAGATACAAACAGCCAAGGCAGAGTGCAAGTAGAAATGTTCCCCCACTCGCTTTTTGATTTTCCTGTCAGTGGCAGAGCGGTGGAAGACACCTCTGCTGCCACTGCTGTATGTTCTTTAATTTCTGACGATTTCTGTCAGAATGGATTTTTGCCTACACAAGCAGAGATATCCTCATAGGTCCTAAAGGGCTTTCTAAAGTAGTTAACAACCCAGGGTTACCTCTATGTTGTCACAAATGGCTACGATGTACTTAGGTATTGCTGTAGATACTGTTTTGGTTTAGCACCAGCTCCTTGAAGAGAAGTTTGTTCTTTCCTTTAACAAACCTACCAGGAATATCTAGTATATTTTTCTAGAAATCATGAAAGATTTCTTGCAGAGACATTTTCTTCTTAGAAATCAGGAGCATTTTGTTATTCCATTTATGGAATGTTAAATGTTGAACCCACATTTTATGACCTTAATCTTCAGATTATTGCCAGGCTTGGTAACTGAATACTTGTGGTGCAGGAGCCACTTCCTTCTGGCTAGCTCCTCAACAGGGCAACGTTAGCAGTATCCCCATCTCACCCTCATTTAAACAAGAGAAATATTTCTGTTAAACCAGTCATGCTAGAGTGAGAGGGCACAGAGCACAGGGGAGGACAGAGAAGGGGGAAACCATGAATGATTGTCTGAGAGGACTTGGGTGAAAGGCAGTGGGGTGGGTGAGCAGAGTGGACCTGGCTCTGGGTGGGGTGGCTGTGACTTGGGAGTGTTACGAGAGAACAGGAAAAGCTCTGTAAGGACAGGAGTGGACTGTGGCCAAGGTGGGAGAGTATGTAAAAGCACTCCCTAAAACAAACTTGTGAAGTCCAGAACCTGGCATTGCTTTGTGGTGGTTTTCTGCCATTTCTGTCTGTGAGACCAGCTGCCCAGTGCCCCATCTCTACTCAGGGCTTGTCTGGTGTGATCAGGTACTGCCACAGCTTTCGTAGAAGGGTTGATGTCTCAGTTCTGCTGATTCCTGTCAGCACCAATGGAGATGGAAAGTCTGCTTTGCAATTTTTGATAAGCTGTTGTGTGTGTAATACATATAAGCCATGTAGTACACAGAAATCAAACTAGAGTTATTATATCACCAAAGTTGCACTGGAAGAAAATGCTAATGGCGGTCTGTGTGAGCATTGTTTCTCCACTGCTCACTGTCACATGCATGTTGTATGGGACCATCCCTTTACAGCACTGCATCACAACTTTTCAGATGGGTTCGTTCCCAGTAAACCTGCCCCAGGTGTAAGTAAAGCCTTCATGGAGAAGGGGGCTGCTGTTGTCAGCTGGGCCTCTGCTTCGTGTCTCAGAGCTGAAGGTGTGCAGGGAGTGAGGCTGGAAAATGCAGGACCAGGACATTGCCAAGTTTCAGGAGGGTGAATGCTGCTCTCTAGAAATGGGTCCTGACCTCCCACCAACAAGAGCTCCTCTGGGGTGTGAGGCAACTCAGAAAAACTTGGCTTTTATTTATGAACAGCGTGAATTATATCCTCCTCATTGGCTACATAGAGGTGCTATGGCAGCTGTGTTTGAACATATAAAATACTCTGGAAAGCTCAGGATTCAGAGGAATTAGATTAGGCACCCAAACCTCTTGGCCTTAATCTACTTGTATCATTCTCCTTTTCCTGCAGCAGTATTTTATAGTTAAATTCAGTTGCATATTTGCAGAGTGTTTTAAAAGGTAGCATATACTGAAGAGCACCATCCCCTTGAGGGATGGTTTGCTGCAAATGAGGCACTGGAGAGCTCTGCAGAACAAGGAGAGAACAAAATATTAAGCAGTTGACTCCTGAAGCTCCCCAGAGCTCTTCCTCTGGAAAGTATGAGCTAAGGACTGTGCCAGCAATGGATGCAGCAGGTACATTCACATTTGATGAAGGCCAGGGGCATGCCACACTGAGGACATACAGAGCCTCCTGAGTAAGACATTGTGTTGTATGGAGAGAGGTGCTGTGCAGCCTTTGCTGTTAGTGTGGCTGCATCCAGCCACACTAACACAGGGGACTGGGACTGTTACTAGTGTGCTCCTGATCAAATTCAGAGGAAATTAGGTAATTCTGTTTTGGTGATACAACAAAGGCAATGGCTGAGGATGTTGTGTTGCTCTGTTAGTAGGAAGGTCTCTTTCCTCCCATGGGAATGCTCAGAGTTGAGGCACTGCTTTGCATGACTGATGCATTTTAAGCAACTGAGATGTTTAGCAGTTACCAGTATATTTAGCATCTGGGCACAACACAGATCTCCAAGAGCCACCCCAACAAAAACTGCTGTACCTTTTTGACAGAAATAGCGTACAGTGTGTAACATGCATCCATCATCTGTTACTGGTTAGGGACTGTGACTTCAGAGGTGCATGGCATAGCAGCCTCACTGCTGTGTGAATGATGTGTCACAGTTTAAACCTCAGATGTGTGGATTGGGGTGGTTTCTTCCTGGCCTGGCTGAAAGCAGTCATTCCAGGCTGCAGCAGCTGGCTGTACATTGTATTCTCTGGGTGTGCTTTGATTTGCAGTGAAAGACAAATGTGTATTGAGTATAGGATGTAGAATAGGGTTGTTTTTTTTTAATTTTTATAATTATTATTATTCTAGAGAGCTATCCGAATGGAATATGAAGGATAAAAGGATAATTTTATACCTGAAACAACAACAACAAAAAAAAATAGCTATGAATGCTTGTTCATGTTTTAGAGCAATGGGTTTGTAAATGACTGCATTATTAGGCTGCACATAGTCCTTAAACACACGGCAGTCTTTGGGGTTGTGCACATTAAATCACCTTGTTCAAAACTGAAAGCTGTCAAAGCTTCAGTGATGTTTCTTCTTTGTTCCCCACCCTGATCTTTTCTGATACATTAATTCTTGCTTGGAATTAAGTCCAGAATAGGCCACAGTAGGAAATGCTGCTGTTGAAGAATTTTCACTCCAGCTGTGAGCAGTAACCTGGAACTGCAGTTTTTAAAGATGCAGGCCTTGTTTAGATCACTGCAAATCAGAATAGGATTTGCATCCCCCTCCCCCCATCCCCATCACTGAGATAAAAGTTGTGGTTTTGAGTGATTTTTGGAGGGAAAGAAAATCCCCAGAAAGTCTTTTATAGCTGCTCGGTGTTCAAGGAAAGTGAATACTTCCAGATGCACCCGAGAAAAATCTCATTGACCTGATTTTGAACCTAACGTACCACTCAAGGTAATGAAGCTCTTAAGTCATGTAGTTGCTTTTGAAAATTTCACTTACTGATCAATTCCAGATTTTCCAAAGTATTTATTTTCATGTATTTCAAAACCTGTTGTTATGATGCTTTTATTATGACTCAGCATTCCTTTGGTCTACTTGACATAAATATACAATAGTACAAATTATAGGGTAAATCTTTACCTTACTTAAAAGAAAACTTAAGTCTTTTGTTGTTTTCATACAAGTAGAAAACAGGGTCATCATGTGCTCAGGAATAAAGGCGGATAGATAACTGAAGCAGAGACATGGGAAGACATTCAGGGGCTTTACTAAGTGGAAGCACTGTGCCACAGCAGTGATTGGGGAGGCAGCAGGGACCCGCTGCCTGCTGAATCGCATCCCTGATCTGACTCTTACTGACAGCCAACAGCATCTGAGGTCTCCAAAGGGAAACGGCTGAAAGAAAAACAGGGTAAGAATCAGGTGAAGGGGAAAAGGTTGGTAGAGAAAACAGGTAGCTGTGAAGTTAAATACAAATTAAGGCCTTCAGTGTAACCTCTTGAGATCTCACGATGACCAAGGCTGCAAAGGATTTGCCCTTGAACAGGAGAAGGGTATGAGGCAGGGTGAGACCAGGGGAAGGCTGACTGAAGAGCAGATGTACAGGAGAGAGGGTGGATACAAGCTTTCAACTGTAAGATACTGCAATAGTGGGAACGAGCAGAAAAGGAGAAGACTAAAAGGTGGATGGTTCAGGGAAAACAGAAAATATTCCCTTCTGTATGACACTGCAAAGAAATGTTACCTAGGGGGGTTGGCAGCAGTAGGTAGTATCTTCTTTTGCCGGTATTTCAAGGAGGTCTCTGTGTTAACAGCATTTGATATCCCCCACTCAGGCACTCTGGGTTTTCCTGAACAAAGTTCAATGGTAGCACGTTCACCTGCCCTTCAGCCTTGTGCTTTCTATAGCTGCTGGGGCTGCAGCAGTTGTGCTCTCAGCATGGTGAGCATGGGAAGACAAATTCCAGTTGCAGCAGAAATTCATGGCATTCGCTTCGGTGGTGGCAACAGAGTCACAGTGTAACAAACAGCTACTCCTGATGTGTTGGGTGAGTTGTGAAACGGCTCCTTCCAGCACTGGTCCCAGGTGCCTGTGTGCTTTTCCACCATGATTTGCCCTCTGTGCATGTGTCCGTCACGATGCTTTCCAGGATGGTGAGGTGTTTAGGAGATATGCTCCAAGTGAACCCTGTTTCCATACAGGGTGCATTGGCAGTACTGCAGAAGTAGTCCCAGCTGCTCATCCCACTTAATTTCAGGAGTTTCATTGCAGTGGTTTGTCCTCAGTCTTATTTTCAAAGTTGCCAGCACAAAGCAAATGGAGTTACCTAATTTGGGCAAAAAGATGCTCTTTTTATCACTTAGATCCCACCTGGCCAGTGACAATAGGGCAAGTTTATGCCCTTCTCACTGGATCTCAGTTTTGCTGACCTGTTTCCAGTTTTAACCCATTTGTGAAACCAGTGGTCCAAGCTGTTGGCCTTTTCATACCCTTCTTTTAGTAGCTAAATGAGCATGTATTCAGAAGGCAGGGCTGGAGGGCAGACCATAGGTCTGTGAAAGCATCAGTGTATTTGTGCACTTTATTCCAAGACCACAACTAATAGGAGTCTTGGTTCATGGGTGAAAATACCCTCTCTCAATCGAATAGGATGTTATGACTTTGATGAGGAAATGAAAAGTGAATTTAGCTGGAATACTGCATACCACATTTGAGTGAGCTATTTACTCTTCAGGGGACTGAAATATTTTATTATTGGGCAACCAAGTGGAAGTAACACTGCAGTTTAGTTGTGTATGAAATATCTACTCTTACACAGCATTTCTAAACTGTTAGTCAAATGAAAGTTAACAGTGGGTTTTCCCCTACTGTTTTTAAAGTGGTCAATCTCAGTCTCTGATTCTCAGCAAACTGGGGATGTTGTTTTGTCTTCAGTGAGTAGCAGATGCAAATACATCTTGAAGGCAATTAGAGTAGTTTTATTTTTGCTTACAATGAACTGCAAGCACAAAATGGGCAGCCCAAGGTTGAAGGTTATTTGCTGAGATTATATGCCACATGTGATTCATCTTTGGCCCACTTCTTTTGATTTTATTAGCAAAACTTTAAATTTCCAGGGGATCTCTACAGTATTCTCAGGGGTCAGATGACAGGGCTGAAAATACTTCTCACTGGTGGCTGTGTGAGCAGAATACACTGTGTTAACTAGATGCTGTTCAGGTAACCTGCATCCCTCTCTTGGAGTCCCAGCAACATCAGCTACCCTGAAATACTGTACATCAGCACATCCTGGAGAAGTGCATGGCAGGCCATTTCCTCCTGCTGTTTTTCAACAGCATTGCTCTGAACAGATAACAAATGACATAAAGCCCCCAAACAGGTCTGCAGGGAACAAAAGGCCTGTTATTTCCCCAGTGGAAAGGAACATGTTAAACACTGCTTTCCTTCCCGTACCCCCCAGCTACTGTTGGTGACTGCTGATCAAACTCAGGAGTGCTGCTTTGTTCTCCTTCTCAGTGTCCTTTACTCTGGAAAAAGTAGAGTGAATCTTCACTGCAAAGGAGATCTCAGTTTTAATTCAGCATGCCTGCTGTAATAATAAAGGCAGTTTTAAGGAGAGATAGCATATAGACAAGATTATAATTATTGCTCTGAAGCTCTTCTGGAGAAGAGGAGGAAATTTCCCATTAACATTAAAAACAAATACAGGAGAAGGTGACAAATAAATGCTTCCACTACGGTACTTCTCCATGATCAAGACACTTGCCTAATCCCAACATCTAATTGTCATATGATTAAAAACGTATTTGATCTCATGAATATATAAAAGATTGTGTGTAGCAGCATAAAGTACTTGATTTAAATGCATAATTAATAGTTTCATTTAGCTTTATATTGAAATGCAAGATCAACAAGGCATGTATCCAAGAGATGTACTGAAGTTTTTGCACCAAAGCAGCTTTTTAGTGAAACTATGCTGATAACTCTTTCACTTTTAGACAGTTATCTGAAGGGGAAAAAGAAGTCTGAAGCTCTCTTCAGAAGTTGGGGCGGGGGGGGGGGGAATCTTTGATATATTTGAGAAGCCAGTGAGATAAAAACTTCAAACAATCCCAAAGCACATCCACTACTTTAACAATTAACTTTTACTTACCAAGAAGGTATTTGGGATGTAAAAACATTTAAAAAGTGGTCATAGAGCATAGAAAAATCTGTGCTTGGTGATTAGTATTTGGCGTAAGTGTAACTCAGGAGAAACCCACCCTGCCTGTGACTCGTGTGCAGTCTCTGGAGAACTTCATGGGTTCAGAAAAGACAACGTACAAAGCTTCTGTAGGTTCAGCTGTAAATTATGCCTTTATATTATACCCAGTGCACACATAGAAACACCACCACTTTCTGAGTTCTGCAGTCGGACCATATTAATTCCATAAAATATCTAGAGTACTGGTTAATTTTAAGCCTATAAAAAAATACAGTTCAGTAGTGGAGCCAAACATAGTACTTTTTGTTAGTTTTAACCATCTTGAGTTCTACTTTTGAAGGAATATTAATCCAATTCACTTTTTCTTTTTTAAAGTATATTCCAGGATTCAACTGTTTGATTTCAGTTTGGTAGCACTGAGTTGTTTCCCTTGTCCTCACTGATTGTAATGACAGGTAACGTCAGCTTCATTTTTATCTTAGCTCAGAATATAAACACAAAAGTGTACAAAAAGGAAGATGTTTTGTTACACACTTCTGGAATTATTTTTGATGTTTATCTTATGCCAAACAGTTTTGATTCTGCATGTGATAGATACAGATACATATGTCTGATTAAACTGTTTTCAGCATTTTGCATTTAGTGTAGAGAAAACACTGGCATTAAAATAAATGCATACAAAAACCAACTGGAACTTTGTTGAAATGTAATTCCATCAAGAAAAAAAACCCACAATATTTTTATATAACATTTTGGATATATTTGATGTCAGAACATGATCACCAGTCAGACCAGTGACAGCTAAACCCAGTACATTGTTGTGACTTCTAAAATAAAAAAACAGAACAAAACTAAATTTATTATAGCTCTGCCTTCATTCAACACCATGTGTTGGTGATTTAAACACAACAAAACTCTAGTATTCTTCAAAAGTGTCTACTAAATAGAATAAAAAGAATAAGAGAACAATTAACATTTAGTCTGTTACATTAAAAAATTGGATGTACATATTCCTATTGCCTGTTAGCTTGACCTAAGCTTTTCTCAACTACTACAAAAATAAGAATAAAAAAAGAAAACCCATTGTTCAAAGTCAAAAACATTCAAATCAGTTGATACAACATTACAGTACAGTCAACTAACATCATTCAAGGTCTCATTTTCTCAGTGTATGAGTCCTTAGACCAGTGTTACAAACCTTGTTCAATGCAGTTTCCAAACTGTATGTTAGCACTGCAAGATACTGTAATCTACTGATGGCTTCGGAGGAATGGGGTTGTGCTACTTTTGGATCACAGGGTAACCCCAGCCTCTCATTAATCGTATTCAGCACTGTAGTTAGACCAGCATTAAGTTTAGCACAATAACTAAAAAAAAAAACAGGAGGAAAAAGAAAGGAAACCAGGATTGGAAGCCAGGTGAAGCTGCCATTTGTGTCAGACAATTGCGATACGCTATACTAAAAAATCCTGAAATATCCACCTGTCCTCACTGCTCTGCCACGAACTAGCAAAGTCAAAAATACAAAAGTCTTCAACTTCTCATTTTTGCAGAATAAAGCAAAAAAGTCTTTGTGCTCCTTACTACCAGAAGCAAAATATCCTCTGAGTTACCACATGTAATAGCTTCTGGATGTGTCGACTTGGGTTGGCTTGGTCTCTGCAGAACCATCCTTGTCTTTTTCACTGTCACCTTCCCAGAGATTAATAAGTGGAGGGTAGAGCTCGTTCAGGGGGATTGAAGAGGTCTTTTGCATATATTTTTTCAATGAGTGGTGGTAGTTTTTTCTCTTAAATCGTTTTGCAATATAAACAGAAATGGAGGCGAGGCTGATGACAGCAAACATGGACCCCATTACTGCTGCGAGGGCAGTGCTGGTCTCTTGGTCTGAAATATCTAGCGCAAAAGCTGCGTTTTTTGTTGTAACATTAACACAGGACTTCTGTGTTTGCTGATGGATGTTTGACACAGTTAGACACACTTCATAATCTGTAGATGGTTGTAAATGTGTGAGGTTATATTCATGTACATCAACTGGGACCCTAGCAGTGTATGTGATGTGAGGGTTGTCGATCTTCATAGTGGCTGATGACCACTTTAAATTGGAAGTCATAACATTGGAATTAACTTTCCAAGAAACTAAGATGGAATGTGATTCCGCTTGCTTGACGAAGATTTTCAGAACCTGGGTACCATCCAGAAGCGTTCCGTTCACCCGGATAGTAGCGACCCTTGTGTCAGCCCCTTCTACGTTTTGAGCAACGCAGGTGTATCTCCCGGAGTCTTCAACCTGGACATTAGAGATTTCCAAGGTGCCCTCACTGCTCAGCTTGTATTTGTCAGACAGACTTTCGACAGTTACTTTATTGCCGAGAGGAGTGACCCAGTAAATTTCTGGCTCAGGTTCCGCCATGGCCCGACAGTCTAAAAACACTGTCATGCCAATGTCCAAGTTTAAGTGATTTGGAAAGGTCTCATGAGAGATCATTGGAAGACATTGTTCATTTGAATCCTGTATTAACACTTCCTTCACCTGCTGCCCTCTGTATTCTGGGGGCATAGCGCAAAACATGGACAGAGGTTCCATGAAACGGATATTGGTTTTGTTCGAGTTGATCCAGTGAATGACACAGTCACACCTGAGCGGGTTACTGTGGATACTGATCTCACGCAAGTTTGGAAGGGATTCCACTGTCTTTTGGTAGACTGCATTCAAGGCATTGTTGTTCAGCATCAAGCTCTCCAGGGCAGGAACATTGCGAAATGCCAAACGATGTATGTAAGACAGCTTTGGATTGTTGGTGGCTTCAAGCTTTGTAAGTTCAGGCAAGTTGTCAAGTGCGTACCTATCAACAGAAACGAGTTCTCCCATGTTATTGATTCCAAGCTCTTTCAATCTGAGCATGTTTTTAAAATCACCTTCCTGAATTTTATGAATCGGATTTTTGTTGAGATCCAGGAATTTTAAATTTGGGACTTTCTCAAGTGCAAGCTGAGGAACTTTTACCAATTTGTTGTCATAGAAGGAAAGACTTTCAAGACTATCCAAGCCTACTAAGGCATTGCCAGGAATGTCTGTGAGATACATACCTGCCAAAACTAAACTCCTTAAATTTGAGAGTGGTTTGAAATTCATATCTAGTATTCCAATCACTGGATTTTCTCCAATCATGAGAATCTCAAGGTTAGGAGTAGAATCAAACCAACGGCTGTCAATAACCTTTAATTTGTTGGAGTTGAGATGTAATCTCAAAAGGTTCTTCAGGCCAGAGAATGCATTTGCAGAAATGCTGCTGATCTGGTTGTGATTTATATATAGCTCTTGAAGATTGCAAAGGTCTTGCAAGCAGTAGTCAGTCATCTCCGTTATCTGGTTTTCCTCCAGGTGCAAAGTAGTAAGTTGACTGAGATTTGAGAGCCCCACATCTCTGATACTTGTGAAGTTATTTTGTGAAAAATCCAGTTCTGTTAAATTAAACAGCTGCTGGAGTTCATCTGTGGTCTTTGCAATGTTGTTGCTTTGTAACAGAAGGACTTGAGTGTCACTGGAAAGATTGCTGGGGATTTTTGTTAACCGAAGGTCATTGCAGTCAACTGTTGTGGCTTCCCTGTACGTCGACTGTGGTGTAAACCATGGCCTGATTTCACATACACAAAGCTGTGGACATTCGTTACTCTGCATGGAAGACTCAGTTAATGAATTCATTAGCAATTCTAGCACCAACTGGCAAACAGTTAAAGCAACTCTAACCTTCGCCATGCTGGTCAGTGAGTGAGTTCAACTCGCCAGCCCCTTTAAACAACAGCAGATCGAGAGGGTAATTGGTTTTCAGGCAGCAAATGTAAAGCTTAACGTGAAAGGCTTGGACATCCAGAAGGTGAAAAGATTGTTTTCAGAGTTTAGAGAAGACAAGAAATAGTCTTGAAGACTTTTAGCTCCTCCTCTGTGTTCCAGAATCTTCTGCAAACCAGTGTCTGAAGATGTTCCTGAAAACAGATCAGGGTATATGTTACGGTCATATCACGTACAGTTTATATATTATTTAATGTCTTCTTCCTTTAAAGAAAAATATCTGAAAACAATCATTATTTGTCTCTCCTAAAAAAAACCTGACCTGGTGTGGTTAAGTTATGTAGGGTTTGGAACTATCCTCTACTTGGGATTTACATGAGAAAACTCTCAAGTCAATGACTGTAACAATGTATGCAATGAGCTGAAAAGAAAACTTCTGGGTATCTTTCAATTCTACTCTGCAGTATTTGTTTGAATGGCATGAGAAATGCTAAAGATGGGGGATACGTTGGTGACTGCAGCCTAGGTTTCCAAGGACTGCTCAGAGCATCATCCTGATGGGAGGCAGGGTGTCATCGAGCTGTCTCAAGGCCCAAATTTCATGTGAGTGGAATTAAGTAAGGCTCAGGAAGATGTTGGCTTATAAATTTCAAGCTAAATATGTACAAACTTTGCCAAAATTCATCCGAGTTAATCAAATCAGTTCCAGATAGCAGCTTAGATTTAATCCAGCTAAGCACCAAACAGTAACAGTAAATTCGATTAAATTAATGTACTGTCTTATTTCAGCTTTGTCCTTCATTGTGCATCATGTGAATTGTTCATCACAATTCATATATTTTTAACCTGAAGTTATTCATGTAAGAGTAACTCAACAGTGTCCGAAAATCTGTTGTGTCATGGGTCTTTAATCTGAACTCTCTTTCAATCTAAACTCTCATCACGGAACAGTTTGTGTTGGAAGGGACCTCAAAGCTTATCCAGTTCCAACCCCTGCCACAAGCGGAGACACCTTCCACTAGAGCAGGTTGCTCCAAGCCCCTGTGTCCAACCTGGCCTTGAACACTGCCAGGGATGGGGCAGCCACAGCTTCTCTGGGCACCCTGTGCCAGCGCCTCAGCACCCTCACAGGGAATAACTGCCTAATGGCTAATCCAGATCTCCCCTCTGTCATGTTAAAGCCATTCCCCCTTGTCCTGTCCCTACATGCCCTTGTACAAAGTCCCTCCAGGTTTCTTGTCAGCCCCCTTTAGGCATTGGAAGGATTTTCTTGGTAAGATCTTTCTAGTTATCACTTTATTGAAAAAAATAAGCACCAGGAAACAGTTTTTTTATCTGCAAACCAATCTATTACTGCTGCTGTAAAAAGCATTTTTTGAGAGCTTCTGTTTGTGTATGTGTGAAATGTGCAATTCAGGCCTGTGCTGTTAAGTACAGGGGCTGCCTCTCCTTCCATTTGGAAGCATGTTGTTTCGGTGGTGGCGACACTGCGTGAACTGATTTCCTCCATCCAGTGCTCATGGTGGTGATTTAACATGCCTGTATTTCTCTTGGCTTGTTGTGCACATCAGTATTGGCAGATAAAGTACACCTTTGCAGTATCTGACAGTGAAGGTTAAGCAGATTAGTGCACGTGTCCAACAAGCTTTGAATTAAATACAAAGTGTTCACTAGCAAGGCATGTGACAAATCTGAGCAAGGATTTAAAAAGCAGACCTATTGAAATTCGAGGTGACACCACAAAGCTCATGCTCTAATGATTGTATCTTTTTCAATTGGAAAGGAGGGAGGCCTCAATCTAGTCAAATCCTACAAAAGACATCACTATATAAAATAATAAAACTAAATACAGCTTTTAAACAAAGTTTCAAAATAGTCTTGTGCATAGTGGTGACAGGAATGCCATTTTCCGATGTTCTTACTTCAAAATCTTATCAGCATATTAAATAATGAAATTACAGTATTTTAGTTCAGAGTATAATATAATGCTATATGTATATATGTGTTATAAGTAGAACACATCAATAGTGTTTTTATTTTAGCATGCTGTTATCTGTTCTGTGGTTGTATGTTGAAGTTGGCCAGAAAGTACTTGACCCTGTTGAGTTAGGTACTCTCTCTGGTAGCTGAGACATGGATGAGAGCTGAGAAGAGCTTGCTGGAGGCAGAACAAGCAGATGCAGAACAAGTATTCCTTCTCACATCACTTTCAGCTGATGGAAAAATTAAATAAGGCATAAGTGCATTAAAGAAATAAATCCTAACGGCACCGTAATAATGAGGAGTATATTAACATAGAGTGATGGGGAGGCTGGAATAAACAGCTATGGTGACTTCAGTAGATGCTTCTCTCAGTGAGAAGATATTTGTAGCCGACCCAAACTAGACAGTTCTGGGAATACTGGAGATCTGAAGTTTAACTGATGTAATTCCAGACATTTGAAATTACAGCATTTGCCAGTTAATGATGCAGGTAGGGGTCTCACCCTGTAACAGTTTTAGACCAGTTCTGGAGGTGCCATAAGCCGCTGTCACTCAGGGGCGCTTCCTTGCAGAGAGAGGGAGATGTCTCTGGTCCTGTTGTACAACGTGGCTCAGAAAGGAGCAGCACCATCGAAGGCAGCAGATGCCGCTACCAGAGGCAATACTGCTTCTAATGTTCATGCCTTTGGGTCCCTCCTGTAACTTTTTTCTAAGCAGATGAAGAGAAATAAGTCCATGGCTTATAAAGGTATGAGCCCTGATGGTGGTTTGGTACTGATTCTGATGTACATGAGGAATCATGTAATGCTTTAAAATTGAAACTGCCAAAAAAAGACTTCAAAGCTTCTTTAAAATATGTCAGAGCTCATCTAGATTTTGAAAAAAGTCAAATTCAATCCTTCCTTTGTTGAATATTTGCATCCTCTTACTTGGACATTACAGTCATTGCTCATCCTTGGTAAGAAGGCATTTCTGGTTGTATTGAATAGAGTTCTGGGGTTGCGATCACTGTGAACATACAATTTTACAAGTTACTAGTGATTCTTGCTCTTCTCTGGTTATTTTCTGCTGCAAATGGATTTAATTTTCTATAACTGGAAAATGTTCTTTAGAAATGACTTCCACATTTACTATCTCCCATCTCCCCCAGCCCAGGGCAGCTTGGATGAAGCTACAAGTGAAAAACCAGTGTATCAAAAAGTAAATGCCCATGTCTATTTTAGTGCTGTGCTTATGTGAATAGCAGCCCAGAGGTCACAGCTGGAGGGAAAACCTGAGTCATGGACTTTTGCTTTGGCTACTGCTTATGCTATAAAACCCCATCCATCTCTCTGATAAGAGCCAGAGAGGGGCAGCCGCTATTAGTGACAGTGCACTGCGGTTTTACAGAACTAAGTGGTTGGTTTGCTCTGCTCTTTGTATCTATGTATGATATGCTTGACCATCTCAGCACTCACGTTTGCAAGAAGCAGCTGCCAGTTCTCTGCCTCTGCTGAGCAGTCACCAACAGCCATACCTTCACCCGTGGATGTCTTCCCAGCTCTCCAGTTGGCAGAACTGGCTCCAGACACCTTCGTGTCCAAAGGAGTAAAAGAGTGCAACGTTTTCCACCACGTTTTTCAAATGTTAGACTCCTCAGATTCTCAAGCCCTATCTAGAATTATAATCACATCTTTCCTCACAAGAACTAGACCAGATATGTCATGTGGCAATTTTTATTTTCTCTGTGGATAAGCTGGAGGACAACCAGATTTTGAAAACAAAATCTGTGACAGTACGTGGTTCCCAATGCATAATCACCAAACCCATGTGGATAAACAGGGAGTGGCTCCTGGGAAAGTTCCCAGCTCTCACTGGAAGCAGAGAGTCTGAATTGAGAATCTGAGTGTTACTGTGTGCCCCTTTCCTGCTTGGCATCTCAGCCTTTCACCCAGTGAGGTCCTTTTGTATTGTTTTTTGTATCTAAAATGACTACAGTATGCCCCTGGTAGACAAGTGCAGACCAAGTGAAAGACAAGACAGGGGAATCAGTTCAAAAGATTTTGGCTTTTGAAGGCCAGGGAGTTGTTTCTTATAGAAATACAAGTTCCCAGAGCAGGGGCAGAGCAGTAGCTCCAGGCTTTTTGGATTAGGGGAGAATATCAGACCTCAAAACCTCCCTTAGAACACAGTCATATCACAAAACACGTTTGTCTTCTGACAATGGTATTCAGTATGGGTCAGGACATTGCTGGTGGGCCTTTTGGTTCTGTGTTAGAGACTTCCTTTAAAAACACCAGGTGAGGAAACTTCCCCTGAACAGTAAGGTGTGGCAGGGAGGAAGAGATAAGGACAGCTTTTAGCATTCTCTGCCTTCTCTCCGATTCATTAAATTCATATTTGTTAGCATACCAAACCACAACACCACTCATAGCAGCCGTTAACTTGACACCACCAGAAATAATGGTTAATTTAATGCAAGAGATATGGAGGGAATTATTTACTAGTTGCTAAATAAATGCATTTTCCATGGGACCTCTCAGTACCCAGTGTATGAAGAAACCACATTCCTGTCAGTGAGCAAACCCACAGCAGATGTCTGGTATCTTGGCTTGTTTGTGTTTCTTGTGTGCAGGGAATGTGAGCACCCTTCCTGCGCTTCCCATCCTGGAAATGCAGGGGGGAGGTTTGTGTAAGGTTTCCCTTTCCAGCTAGGTTGTGAAAACTGCATAATATTGAGAATTTGTTTGGGCCAAGAAATCGTAATGGTGGGTATTTGGTTATGGAGCAGGAGATGCTTCATGTCAGCTTGCCTGTGGGGTGGAGAGAGGTGTGTGCTGGCAGCTACAGCTTGCTGAGGGCTGGCAAGACTTAGTCTAGTCATTCAGGCGCTCCAAAGAAAAAGTATATTTAAGTCCACCATGCAGTAAGAGAAGAATATGAAGAAACAGTAGTGAAATAGTGTTCATGAAAAGCATTCACAGTTAGTTAACTTGCCAACTAGACAAGGAACAGATATTCAACATTTTTTTTCTTGGTAATAGGAAGAAAAAGCGTTGTCACTTCCTTGACAGCTTCCTTGTCACTATTAACAATTGCTGAAAAAGAAACAATAGAGTTTGCACATGGATATTTGGATGTCTGTTTTGAAACAGCAATGCTACCACAGAAAATCTTCTCTCCCTACAGTTAATTGGTTCATTCTTGCAAAATTTCTTTCATGTTGCAAGTA